TGAAACTACCCCTCAAATATTACCAAGTTATATAATAATATTGCCATATTGTTTTTTCTCATGCTGACATAAATGTGAGAAAATTTTATCCAGTTTTTATGTTAATGGAAATTCTTGCTTTGCTTTATCATCACCATTACAAATGATTAACTCGATGCGAACGAAGTCGCTAGTACACGCTAGTTTAATTATAGACAGATATGTTATAAATATACAGTTGACGCGCTAAAATTCAAAATAAATTCTTAGTTATAAATCGTTTGTAAATAGTTCTATAAGTCTTTTATCGTTATTATTTTTGTTCATTAGTGTTAAATAAATAGTGTTTAAATAAATTGTGACTTTCTATCCACACGGAACCGACGAAAAACGTAACATTATCATATATGCTTCAATCAAGACACTAATTTTATGTAAGCTCTATATTGATCGGGTTCTTTTATAAAACGGTCGTACATAAAAAAGATATAAATTATAACTACGCGCAATTTCCATTAAATTGTATTCACGTATGGAAATTCAAGATATTAAATAATAAAATCTATAACGGAAATATATAAAAAGTCTTGATACATGATAATAAACCTGATCTATACGAAGGGAATAATTGAGAGTCATGTTGAAAAGGGAATTATTGCAAATAAAATTCACTATATAGCTATTTTATATCAAGGTGATGATTTATATGATGACAGAAAAACAATTATTATGAACAATTTTATTACAACAATTGTTTTACTGCTAAATTATTTATATACTTTTATACAGGGTTATTCACCACATACACTGTAGCTAAACGATTAGATTTTTACAAATTGTTTGTTTACAAAAGTTTTGTGTTCGTTGAAGGACTATTAGAACTACAATTTACAAGATTTTACACATAGGTTGTATTTTTTTTAAATGGAACATCCTGTATATTATTAGAATTTTAGTTTCTACCATTAAAATAAAGGTAAATTTGATTAATGTTTACCGCATTTTAAGCTTACCGTTTTTGAAATATTTACGTTTTTGTAAAACAATTTTAATGCTTCATTTCTATACGCGTATTTAAGTTCTTAAAACCAAATATTGTACTGAAGTTTTTCTATTTACTAAATTTTGTATTGCAATAATAAAAATAATACTACCTTATAGAGAGTGTCTAAAAAATTATTTTAAATAATTACTAGTTTTAAACTTCAATAACTTTATTAATTTTAATTGAACACTCTGCATATTTTACGAAAACCAGATACACAGTTAAATTGTTTATCAAATTGTATTATACCATTTCTTACTTATCGCTTCAAGTTTTCGTAGAAAATGCATTTTGTTAAAATGTACACCTCATTTATCAATATACCGTGTGCATCTCAAAAGTGGCTCACTCCTATAACTTTTGTATTTTTTCAGATAAAAAAAACAGATTTGGTATGCTAGTATATAGACATAAATTAGGATTGATGGACGTATTCAATTGTTTTCAGTCACTTCTTGTTTCACCGTAAATGACTACAACTTCTGATTTTTAAATGGCACCCTCGGTATTTTTTTACTTTATTCAAAAAAAATACCTTATTCATAAAATGTCAACTTTTGACATTTTGGCTTTAAACAAAATTGTATTTTAAATGGCAATCTAGAGTGCCATGGTTGTGTTAAAAACACTAATTTTTAGTCAAGGAGCCTTGGAAAAATAGATTTGATCGTCTAATGTTTTTAATGTTTTGTCCTCGCCGGCGCCGGCGCCGGTTAAAAAATACACAAATCGTATTTTTAATCTTATCTCAATTTTTCCAAATGGAACGAGGGTGGCTCATTAGCATGTTTGGAAAAAGATTTTTTTACGAATAATTTGATACCACACACTTGGTATTTCGAGTCAAATTGTCGTTATGTACCGCACGTTGCAATTTCATATAAACCATATTCGAAAATGTCAAAAGTTGACGTATGGTATGTCATTCTATTCAGAGTGTTATTTTCTCTTGAATAAAGTAAGAAAATACCGAGGGTGCCATTTAAAAATCAAATGTTGTAGTCATTTCCGGTGAAACTGGAAGTGACTAGAAACAATTGAATATGTCAATCAATTCTAATTTATGTCATACGTACTACGGTAGCGTGTACCAGCGACTTCGTTCGCGTCGAATTAATTATTTGTAAGTAATGGTGATAATAAATCAAAGCAAGAATTTTCATTAATATACAAATTGGATAAAATTTTCTCACATTTAGCAATGAGAGAAAAATGAGAGTCAGCATGAGAAAAAACAATATGGCGATATTATTATATAACTTGGTAATATTTGAGGGGTAGTTTCATCTCGTTGGAATTTGACTTTCGAAAAATCCGTTTGTCAAAAATCAGCTTTCTACGTCAAGCAGTTTAAGCAGAATCGTGGTTAATAAATTACCCAACTTTTTGGAACACCCTGTATGATTTTTTTAAAAATTTTAAAATATGTAAAAAATCCAAATAAATTATGCTTGTCCAAGCGTTTTCCCGAGGGACTCCCGTTTTTTAAATAACAAATATTGTAATATTTGAGGGGCGTTTTCACCCTCTTGGAATTTGAGATTCGAGAAACCCCTCTTTATCGAACCTCTACACCCCACAGTCAAACCGTTTGCCAAAAATTAGCTTTAAACGTCAAGCAGTTTAAGCAGAATCGTGATTACTCAATGGTCATATTTTATGAAACACCCTGTATAAATTTATAAAAAATCTTAAAATATGTAAAACAACAAAGTAAAATATATACGTTTTAAGAGTTTTTCCGAAAAACTCACCGGTTTTTACATAAAAAATATTTTAATATTTGAGGGATAGTTTCACCCCTTTAGAATTTGAGTTTCGAAAAATTCCGTCTTATCAAACCTCTACACCCTAAAGTCAACCTGTTTTCCAAAAAATCAGCTTTTTACATCAAGCGCTTTAAGCAGGATCGTGATTAATCAAGGACCAGATTTTTCGAAACACCCTGTATACATTTTTAAAAAATGTTAAAATATGTAAAAAAAACAAAATAAAATATACGTGTTTGTTAGCACCACCAGTCAACACTCGCGCTCCTGGTCGCTCGCATAATAGGGATCGCGAGTATTGGCCGTAGTTCGGCAAGTGACCAGCGACGATCGGTGGGAGGGCGCCACCGTCGACGCACAATGCTCGCTGAAGCCTGTCAGCCGCCGATCACTCACTTGTTCCGCGTGCGCCTGGCGTAAACAGCTGTTTTGTATTTTGTTCTCGATTTACGCCAAATAAACCCCTTTTACTGTATTTTTGTGCAATCATTGAGTTTAACGCCCTAGAGATTCATCGTCTAAAAGTGTTTAAGCGTTTTTTCGGAAACTTGACCGTTTTTTAAATAAAAAATATTGTAATATTTGAGGGGTCCCCTCTTAGAACTGGAATTTCGAAAAATCCCTTCTTAGCGAACCTCTACACCCTAGAATCAACCTGTATGCCAAAATTGAGCATCTTACGTTGAGTGGTTTGAGCAGGATCGTGATTGTATGTCACTCACTTAAGGATTTTATATATTAGTATAGATACTAACATACGAAATTTCGACTTTTTATCTGAAAAAAAATAAAAAAGTTATAGGGGTGAGCCACTTTTGAAACGCACCCAGTATACATGGTATATTGACATTTTCGATTCAATTTTGACTTCAGCTAACTCAAAACTTATACAATTTATAAAATGTAATGTTTAGCTACAATACTCCGTGTCGTATGTGGTGAATAACCGTGTATATAGTTATTTATTTTTCTTTTACTATACATAGTTAATCTAGGATAAATATACTTATTTTCCGTTCATTTTAAAACGAATAGTAGTATTAATCAATCATCAAACACCGGTAGCCAGATCATTAACTGTATATTCTTCATAACTTGAAAACGTCAAAAGAGCATTCGTTCAACCTCAAACAGCTCGCTACAAAACCTATTATTAAATTCGATTTATTTTAAAGCTCAGAAATATATCATCTCACAATGGAGTCTAAATAAGGCAGAAATAATGCAGAAAGAACGAGAATAATATGTTTTATAATGATTAATGCTATGATTAGATATATGTTGAAAACTTAACATAATTGAAAACTTACTAAGACTAAAAAAAAAGTATAAAAAAAGAAATAAAGAAATAATGGAAAAAAGAAGAAAGAAAATAAAAGAAAATGACCCGGAAGATAAAACAAAATCAAGCTCTCTTAGTTGCAAAAATATATTTTTTATATTTCATCTTCATTTATGGCTTTGGGTGATCGAAATCATATAAGATATTACTACATTACTATAACTTATAGCGAGTAGCGAGATGCTCGCAATTGTGGGCGTATGTCTTTCTTTGCCAATCAAAACCAGTGAGTTTGTCTGGTTGCCACATTCTTGGTCTGATACTATCATTTTTCATTTCTGTTTTTTTATTCTTTACTTTTCTCTTCATTTTTAAAAATAATGTTTCGGTATTTCTGTTTTGATTTTTATAAATGGTATATTTTTTTAATCCAAAGAAACAATAATGGTGATTTTTTGTTTTGTTTTGCTCTTTAAGATATCTATAATAATTACTGATGTGGCCCGGTCGTAGCTCCAGCGGTAGAGTGTCGATCTGCGGAGCGGAAGGTACTGGGTTCGATCCCCAGCCAGTACGGTCGCTTTATTTATTTAAATAAAAATATTTATCTAAATAGAGCGACCAACGAGCCGCCACCTCAAGGAAGGCAATGGCAAACCACCTTGAGTATATTTGCCTTGTACAGCCCCTCAAATATTCTTCGGATTCGGTGATAAACTGTAGGTCCCGTGTACTTGTGAAATACTGATGACACACATCACAAGTACATGCGAGAGGTAGCCGACGGTCTATATAGAGTATGGCACTGTAAGATAATTATTGATAAACACTGTCCAAGTTTTACTGCCCAAAAATGTTAAATATTGCATATAAGTAGGTAATATCAATTAAAATGTTTTATTAAGCTATATTTATATTGTTTCAGATTCTTTGGCACAAGAACTAGAAATGGAGCGGAAATCTAGACAGCAACACGTCGAAGGAGAGGTCAAATCTCCCTTACAAGATCGTTCAGGGTACTACAAGAACTCTGTCCTCTTCAGTAGCGCCACATAAGAGTTATTTTTTCCTTATTAAGGAAACTCCATGTAAATATCTCAAATTTGTTATATTAAAAACGTTGATTCGGCAGATAAAAAACAACCAGAATATTCTGTTGCAACTAATGAAAATAAAATTGGATTCAAATTTATTTTTAGTTGCTATGAAGTATTTTGGTTGTAGATTTTTATCGGATACGAAGTTTGTTTATCAGTATAACATGAATATTAATAAGTTTTGCTTCTTTTTGTCGACAGTTCACAAACTGGCCATTTTATATTATCACGAAGGTATTGTACAAAAACAATACAAATAATATTAATGATGTACAGGATATAATCGAATAAAGCATAAAATATCTTTCAGTTATTCCTTTTAACGAAAAAGTAATTTTTATAGACTGTGTCTTTGATAAGAATGCACACTACAGAGATCTCTCTATTTAGTGAAAAGTTGCGCTTTGCTGAAAGCTACAACGTTATGTTTTGAAATAAAAAAAAACAATTACTTCGGAAGATATTTAGGAAAAAAAAATACATCTTCAATAGAGACATGTTCAATAGACGATAAGTCTGATGAGCTTGCGGGCCACGGAAGAAGAGTTATATTAGATTTTCAGAGAAATAATCTGGCATTGTCTTGCTGGAAAATTTGATCTTGCAGTTCCTGAAGGTAGGACAACGCGGCAGTTTTTAACACGTTATTAATTTATGAATGAGCGTTCGTGTTTCTGTCCAAAATTTATTTATTTATTTAGCGTATGGCGTACATGGATTTAATTACAACATCAAATGTATATATTCAAACACAATATAACATGTAAACAGATTGTCACAAATTGTAAAAATAAAACTAGATATCTAAAAAGTTATACACAAAACATATTACAAAAAGTACACTTAAATTTTAAAATCTAGGCTATTGATCCAGTTCAACACCGTGTCTGTGGCTTCAAAGAAATCACTCGCTTCTCCTCCATATGCTGTAAGAGGGAATTCAGTTACAATGTGATGAACAGTTTGACGTGGTTCTCCGCAGTCACAAGTCGGTGATCCGGTCAGTCCCCATTTATAAAAAGAATCACGACATATGCCATGAGACGTTCTTACCCTGTTGAGTACCTTCCACTCGTGGCGGGGCAGCTCCATCCCTGATAGAGCTGCTGTAAAGTCGATGACATAAGCTGCTTGATCTGGTTTCAAAGAGTCCCAGTACTCCCTCCATTTATCATTTATACTGAAGTTTTCTCCCAAAAGTTGTTCTGCTAATAGTAGTGGGGGGATCTAGACTTCAGTCTTCGCAGACGGGCATCTGGCAAGTCGTTGTGGGCTGGAAGGTGGGGATTTGATAATATTTTCTGATATTCCTTAACGAATCTTTCCTGTCTTCGAATACTGGGAGGTGCAATATGACTCAGAGTGGGCAGCCAAGGTAGAGGTGTGCTTTTTAAATAGCCGCTGACTATTCTCATAGTCTCATTAAGTTTGGTGTCAATTATCTTTACATGGCAGCTGTTTAGCCAAACTGGAGCGCAATATTCAGCAACTGTTTTAAGAGTGGATGCATTTGCGCCCCAAGTAGTACCGCAAAGTTTGTGTATTATATTATTTCTAATAGTTATTTTAGCTGCGGTATTCTCTAGATGCCTTTTATACGAGAGTGTTCGGTCCATTGTTACTCCTAGATATTTTGGATAAGGGTTATAACGTAGCAAGTTGTTATTGAAGTATACTTGGGGCTCCAGGCGTGCTTGTTTATTATTGATATGAAAGCACGACACTTCAGTTTTATTCATATTTGGGATTAGTCAGTTTGCGAAATATTTTCCCAGTACAGATAGGTCTTCTGATAGTAGGCCATTAGCTTCCTCTATAGTTTTACTGCGGATGGCAAGAGCTAAATCGTCGGCATACCCAAATTTTGTTGACGTTGTATGTGGAATGTCGGAGATATATAGATTAAACAGTACCGGTGCGAGTACCGAGCCTTGAGGGAGCCCATTATTAAGGTATCTTATTTTACTCCTGCTTTTTCCTGTTATTATTTGGAAGAGCCTGTCGCACAGCATGCTGTTTAATAGAGATGCTATTCTACTGCATGATACTACGTTGAGGAATTTGTATAGAAGACCTTCTCTCCAGACCGTGTCATACGCCGCAGTCAAGTCAACATACACCACAGTGGTCTTCAGCTGTTTTTGGAATCCTGCTTCAATGTGTGTTGTCAGGCTGAGCATACGTTCTAGAAGTTTGTAGCATGTAGTAAGTTCTTAGGTTTGTTTGGCTTTAGAACTGCAACTATTTTGGATTTCTTGAGCTCTATTGGAATATGCCCTGTTAGTAGGATATCGGAATAGAATTTACTCAGCCACATTCTTGTATGTTTCCCGCAGTTTTTGAGGTATTCGGGGTGAATTCCATCGAATCCAGGAGCTTTACCAGATTTGGTGTCTTCCAGTGCTTTATCCACTTCTTCCACAGAGAACGGCTTGGCATATTCAGAGTGGGCACTTGCTTTTTGGCGGCAGATTGTCAGTTGTTTTTTAATATTTGCGTTTTGTTGTTTGCTGCTAGGGGCCTTAGAGAGTGTTATCACTCTTGCAGCGATTTGGTCTGCTGATACTTCCGGTGGTTCACGAGTGGGTGGGTTAGAGCTGCCCAGTTTCCTCAGAAGGCTCCAAGCCCCCCTGCTAGATTTTTTGAAATCCATTCTACCTGTCGTTTCTTCCCATTTTTTACAGTGTTCTATATCAAGACGATTAAGGAGCTCGTCTGCTATCTCAGAGTCTCCGTTGTTCTGAAATTCCTGATAGAGCTGTTCCATGTCGTCGCTCCATCCTGGGACATATTCCTTTCGAAATCCACGTGGTATACACTTTTTTGCTGTTATTATAACGGCTTTGCCATAATGGCTTGCTACCATAATTGAGGCTTTTAGGAGGGATCCATCTGACGACTTTGTCCAACTCCACAGCGAATTTGTCCCATTGGGCCTTTCCAAAATTCCACCTAGGCCTGGGTGTAAAATGGATTATCGGAATTTTAATTCCAGTTTCGAGAACTATGGGGCGATGTTGACTGTGCGGGAAGCCATCCAGAACTTTCCTCGACATTGATATAGGACGTTTTTTGGCATTCTCTGAGACAAAACAGAGGTCTGGGTTTGTTTCAGTGTTCCACGCAGCTGATCTGAAAGAGTTTCGTTCTTTGGCATAAAAAATCAGGTGAAGATCATGTGACTCAGCCCAGCTCGCAAGGCGATCGCCATTTTCATCAGTGGTTCGATATTTCCAAGCAGTATGATGGCTATTGAAGTCGCCTGCATATATTGCAGGGTGTGGATAGACATTTAAGACATTATCAGGCCAGGATGTTTGAGGTGGCTTATAGGCATTAACGACGGTAATGTCAGCTATTCTGTCCAAAATAACTAGAGGTGACTCACTTCCAACTGTTAAGACACCCCAAACAATAACACCGTGCAATCATCATCATCATCTGCTTATTTAGCCATTTCCAATTATGGTGTAGTCTCCCTCACATATTTAGATACTCTCTTTGTAGTTGGGCTCATTGTTGTCTGTTGTTGGCTATACGGGCCCCAGTTATTCCTGCTAATCCTGTTCCTAATATCATGGTCCTATCTCAGGTTTGGTCTTCCTCTAGGTAATTCCTCGTGGGTACCATGCTGTAATTTTTGTGGTTCTCTGTTGTCCGTCTTTCTTGTCAGTTGTCCTGATCATTGCCACTTGAGGGATTTGATTCTGTGGAGGACGACACCTATTATCTGGATCATTTTATCATATCTACTCTATTCTTTTACGGCCTTTTTTTGTTATTTCCAGCATATTTCGTTCCATTGAGCGTAGTGCGACTCGCAGATATCTTATAATGTCCGTTTTAAGTGTCCAGGTTTCGCATGCATAGATCATGACAGGTAGTACACATTGGTCGAATGTTTTCTTCTTTAGATAAAGTGGCATTCTAGATTTGAATCTGATTGAGATTCTTCCATAATAATTCTTCCTTGCTAACTTAATTCTTCTGTTGATTTCTGGTAGTAGAGATCCCGAGCTGGTGTATTAATTGTCCCAAATATAGTTCAGTGTTGTGTTATTTAATATTCCTTACAAAATCGCTCAGGATACTACATGAACTTTATCCTCTTCAGTAGTGCCACATAGAGTTATTTTTTCATTGTTAAGGAAGCTTCATGGGGTAAATAATCCAAATTTGTTCATCTTCGGAAGTAATCGAATTTTTTTAGGTTTCAAAATATGACGTTTCAGAAAGGCGCACCTTTCCCTAATTTAATCATCTTTGTATCATTTCTAGTTTACGAGATCTATGTAGTGTGCATTCTTATAGAGAGACACGGTGTATATTAACTCAAACAAATAACTGAATAAAAATATACAATTAAAAAACATATCCCACTTGATTTTTCAGAAATTTCTTCCTAATATGTGTAATATAGATTTCATAAATATTGTAACATTGCCTGTGTATTTTCATTGCTTTGATTCTCAAGACTGATTTTGGGGCATATATTGTAATCGTAAAACGACATAAATATATAAATATTAAACCAACAATTTCATAATGAATAAGTGTACAGTTTTAGCAATCTTCCAACTTTTACTGTATCTATCTAATCTTTTTTATCGAATTGTATAAAAATTATTTGTATAAATAGGTATATAATATTAAAGACGTTTGTTAATATTAACAGTAACGAATAAAATGTACAGCATGAAAGTTGCTAAATATTATATTATTGATTGTAATTGACATAACCAAATACAGGGGTGTTTCAAAAAACATGCGCCGGCCGTCTCTCGTGGGGAGATTTCCCTCTTAAAAATAAGATTTACTTTTCATATTAACATAGGTCCGATTCTGCTTTTTTTAGTATCTACAGGGGGTTAAAGAAAGTCTTTATCTTTTTTCGATTTATTATAATTTCGGTCTTCTTGATGAAATAAACGCAATTTAATTAATTAACTAGTAAATCGCTTTTGCACTCATAGCAACTTTTACCCTCCAAATTTCATTCGAATTGCGAAAAGCACTTGGAAGAAAATTATAATAAATCGAAAAAAAGACTTTAGCCTCCTGTAGCTACGGAACAAAGCAGAATCGGACTTAATCTTATTTTTACGAAGGGAATCTCCCCACGAGAGATAGCATATTTTTTGAAATATCCTGTATAATACTATGTTTTCAACAATTAGAAAGTTATATTTGCAACTTTCATTAGTAAGAAGTCAACGATTGCTATAGGGAAAATGTCTAGATTATAACCATAAGTAAAAAAACTATTAAAGTTAAATTATCTTAATTTTCGATTTATATTTGATTGAAATTCAAAACAAAAATGTATACGCTCATTGGACAATCATTTTTAGAATTTGTAATTCTTTATTATCTCGATTTTTTCTTTTATAAAACTGTTACAACAGTTCGAACACTTATAATGAACGTTTTTTATCTCATAAAGTGGTTATTCTCTTATTTATTGTTCAACAACATGCTATTTTTAATTCCAACAAAACGTATTTCAAACTGCACTTTTCAATTGGCTTAAAATTAGTATCGTGTGGTTTGATAAAAATGCATCACAGTAAGCGTCAAATCAATATTTCAATTTGAACTTATTATGATCCTTATTTGAAGCCATTTTTTTAAACAGTAAAATAACCTACAATATAGAAAATATAAATACATACCTACTTAATTTCTACAATAATAGTATTTCATTTGAATTATATCAGTTTTATCAAATGCATCTGTGACGCCTTTTTTTTCGATCGTACAGTATTTTAAGCACTTCTTGTATCTAAATGAACACAATAGTTTTTTTTTGTAAATGAATAAGTGTTAGGAATAATTTTCAACGTTTTTATACAAAATGAATCGACTCATGATGATGAGAGATAACAAGAGACCGAAATGTGGTTCTGTAGTACTAATAATTAGCTAGCTTAATATTCATCGCAGTTCTATAGTAGGATATAGTGATAGCTTCTGTTTTGCGTGTTAATATTACATGTAAGTTGTAAGGCTGGGAATGTATGTAATTTATTGTATATAGTTGTGTGTGTGCCTTGTAGAAAATAAAAATAAAAATATAGCAACAAAATTATATGATTTTCATTTTTATAACCATAATTTTAATCGTCAATCGTATACAATCTAAATAAATATGACAAAGTCGATTAGTTGCATCATTTATAACTCCTGAAGGGCTAATAAGGCCAATCAAATTAGAGGGGTCACTTGGAAAAAAGTGTTCTGCCAAGTCGAGCACAGCCGTACCATCCTTTTCTCGAAGGTATTAGCGGCACTTTTGGCGGCACTCTGTAACTTCGTTATGGATAAAGCAAAAATATTAATTTTCACTACACATGAAGACATACTATAGCTGGCTATGTTAGGAAAATATCTAGTATCTAGGGGAACTGAAGAATCTGGAAGACTCCATCCGTAACCTGGAATGGGTGTCCTCCAACGGTGTAAGGCACTCAAAAAAGTTCCTCAGAACTTACGACCGAGAAAAATCAAAAGTTTTCCTTGATTTAATTATAAACAATCTTCGGATTGTCACGGAAGAGCCGTCTCAGAAACTGGATTTTGTTTAAACCCTGAGACTGTATGATGAGTTATAACCCGTTATAACTTAAGAAAGGGGAACACACAATAGATCTGTAACTAAACATTCTACATTCTAGCTGGGTCAGCTAGTACATAA